TAAAAAGCAGTTCTATAGTAATTGAACAAAATAAAATAGAGCATTTGTCTAGTTTATCTAATTCAAACTTTTTTATATTTAAATATACAAAATATACTATATTTCATTATAATTAATTTTAATCTTTATTTCTTTCAATAATAGTTAAAGCCCTAGCCTTGACTATCTCAATCTAATACAAAGCTTAAATAATTTATTAATCATAGATAGTGAAAAATATTATAGTTTATATATTATATGCATATAAAAGTATGAGATTTAGGTAATAAGATGATAAAAATACTAGAACCAACCTCTCTAATCAATATTTTTTTTCAAATTAGATCAATAATATATTTAAATAGTTTAAACTGATAGTAAAATTTTATTTCTATTGGTCTGCTTGCAGAATTACTATTAGTAATTGTTAAGCAATAAAACTAAATATATAAAAAAAAGTAATTGCCAATTATAATTTATATAGAGTAGCATATATAATTACTAACTTGTATAAGTTCCTAGAATAATTTTTAATATTAATATATATTATATAATATGATATATATTTTTGTAAATAAAAAGTAGTTGCAGTAATATAACACACCACTATATTATATAATTAGTGTTGTAAGAAAATGATGAAAAATTAATATTAAAGAATTTAAAGATAAAAATTTCTAGAATAGTATAAAATAATGATTATATATAAACATGTAAACAATAAGACCTGTGGGTTCATAGTGTAGTGGTTAATACTCCATAGGTCAGATCACAAGATACCAGTTCAACTCCAGGCGAAGGTGGTTGAATCGAATTAAAAATAGTATCTGAAGCCATAACCTACTAAGCCCTGTTTCCTATAAGAAGTCATTTGTACATTGATCCAATAGGATGTTTGGATTGTGATCTTCAAGAAAGATGCAGGACAGGATAATCGTCTGGAAGCAGTATAATGATCATCTGACAGAAGCCTGAACTAACAACATATTTGGATATACAGACTGGACTGTGTGCTCTATCTTAACCAACCCAAGTGATATTCCTTATTCCACTTACTTTTGAATAAGGCAACTTTGAAGAAGCATGCTGAACTGACACTAACATCTTGTGCAATATGGACCCCTGATGGTTTACCATATTTGTAGGAGTTGTGTCTTGCTTGGCATTCGTGCCTCTAGATTTGGCAGCTTATACCAACCAGCCCCTTTGAATATGTCTATTAGGAAACAGGGACCTTGGAAGTGGAGTGGTCAAAAGCCATCCATCTGGCCTGTATGGTCCTTGCGGATTCGCGCCCCAATTAATTAAAAAGGATCCCTAGGTTTGGTAGCTGATAGCCAACCAGAGGATAAAAAGATTTGGAGCATTCATTAGGAAGTACAGACCAACATAAAGGCCCCTCTGCCACATTAGCTGCATGAGCGAAAAGGTGTGTAGTGATGAGTTACTTATAGAGAATAGTAAGTAGTATTCTATTGTATTCACATAAAATTGGACCAGTAGATTAGGTGGTTTAAACTAGTGGTAGGAATCCCCCCCTAGATAGGTCCTTCTGAAATGTGAAAAATATTTCAAGAGTATCAGACTAATATTAACAGGCAATAGATAGTTGATAGGCTAGCATTAAGCTATAATGTAACAGTTACAGAAGATGTTTGATGTATTGTAATAGATATGGTTTAATATCAATAAAAGACTTGTATCTAATGCCATAAATAAAATAAAATAAAATAAAAAAATAAACATGTAAACAATAGATGCATGTATAAATATATACACAAGTCAATAGCATATAAGGAGGTTTTTGAGATTAGAGTAAAAGTTAATAACACTTAACTAATAAACAATAAAGTAATATTTAAAGAGAAGTTCTTATCTTGTGTTTATATGTTAAAGTAGACTTGTAACTTAGGCTATGTGGTTATAAGAGAGAAACAAGGTTTGTCTAAGAAAATTAATATTAGAAAGGTTCTAGGCTAGTTGATTGAGAAGTTAAAGTAAGAGAACAGCTAAATTAAAAACATACCTAAAGAGTTATAAACTTATTTTATTGTAAACTAAAGTGACAATAAGTAGCATGAGCCTGCCAGAGAGCCTATAACAATATATATCAATAAAGTGTTGTGTTTCATTACAAGTTTATATCTTTAAAAAAAGTTATATAATGATTCTAAACTTATAACAAAATGATACCAACTTAGAATAAATTTAACATATAAATTATAACCTACTATATTAAACTCATAGTAAATTCAGTACTAACTTGGTACTGAAATAGTACTATTAGGAACCCTAATATTTAAAAAAATTAATTAAACTATATTTATATAAAAATAGTTATGATAAAAATAATTTGATAAGCATTATATTGATTACATGTTATTTTATTAAAAGTCCAAGTATATGAATATATAATAATTTCTAAGTTTTATTAAATCATTAAAAATATATTATACTTGACAAAGATGTTTAAAATAAGTTTCAATTAAAATAGAATTGATAATATTAATTTAGTTCTTATTCAAATAACAGAGTCAAACCTAGCTATAACTGTTCTATAATGAAGCCAGGATATAATAAGCTTAAATTATTAGCTTAATATTAGTTTGTTGTAGAAAGTACAAACCGTTATAAAAACTTTAATCCTATTTAAATAAATTTTTGATAAAATTTGTGATTTTTAGAACTTTATAATAAATTATCAATTTGATAATTTTAAGTATTTTTATAAACTTAGTTTCCTTCGATTGCCTATGCAAATAATGACAAAAATTTGATCAAATTATTAATGAATATAAATAAAAATTCTCTTTATTTCCCAATAATAAATAAACCATGTTAATAAAAAAAATACAGTACCAATAATAATGGAGTCGGAATAAAATTAATAATATGAAATGAAAAGGTTGAGTTGTCAATAAACACTATCAACAAACTCATGTGGATTGTCATCTTTTCTATTGAAGTTAAAATGAAAAAACTTATGAGTTGGGTGACTTTTTTGATTCATATGTTTAATACGTAAATAATTTTTTGGATTTAATTATATTTGAGGTCATAAAAATAGAAATTATTGTCATGAGGGCTGTTGTGTCTTCTATATAATAATCATCTGGGAATAAAAACGTTTTATTGCTGAAACATTTGCATATACGAGATAATAGGTGGTAATTGAATATTTAATTGTTTGTTATACGTTATCCCCTCCAAGGGTTTCAAAGGTGAGTGATATTTCGGAAGACCTGGGATTAGTTGCATACTAGGCAATTCATTAGTCAACCTTTCGTCGTTAAGGAATACTGAAGGGCAATCTAATTCTCTGCCCGAAAAAGTTAAGAGAGATTGCGCACCAATCGTGGATTCGACAGATAACTTGTCGCCCTTTATCTTTTTTGACTCTCTTCCTCCCGGTGATTTGGATAATTTTTGATTCCAAATATTTTTAATGTTATTCGGAGTACGACCATTTCCTAGTCTTCTGGAGATTTCAGCCCATTTATAGCCCTCTTCTCGCAATTCATATATTTTTTTGATTTCATTTTCCGTAAAAGGACTTTTATTAACTAATCAAATAATTCGATTGTTACTAAAAATTTATTTAAACTCATTCTATTGTTACAATTTTATTTTTAGATCATACCTTCTGGTGCCAAGTGGCCAAAGTATCTTTGAAGAAAAAAATTTCAACTTATTGTTTTTTTAATCATAAAACAGTATTTACAGTAAATAGCAATGCTTACCGTTCTCTACATTGTTTTTCGTTTCTTGTTCCTACGTGGCCTGCAACATCTTGCCACCTTCCAATGCCATGTTTATTAATATACTCAAGAAGCTTTTTATCCTCCTAAACAATATTAAACTGTAAAAAAAAAAAAATTTATCTGGACAAGATATTGGTTATCAAACAACTTTTTTTACCTCACTACTGAATCTACCGTGAATAACATTTTGTTTCTTTGACAATTCCTTACAATCCGAAATTAATTTATCATATTTACTCGAGATCTTATGAATTTCTTCTTTGTTTTTTGATGCAAAGGGATTATCCGGTTCTACTTCTAGTGACCTATTAAGATCCGAAAGCGATTCTTTATATTTACCCAACATTGTGTAGGTTACTCCACGATTTCTTAGTGCGAAAGCATTATCCGGTTCTATTTCTAGCGATCTATCGAAGTCCAAAAGTGATTCATTATATTTACCCAATATTGAATAAACCACTCCGCGATTTCTTAGTGTAGAAGCGTCATTTGGTTCTATTTTCAATGATCTATCAAGATCCAAAAGCGATTCATTATATTTACCCAACATTCTGTAAACTACTCCACGATTTCTTAACGCAGAGGCGTCATTTTGTTCTAATTCTAATGACTTGTTAAGGTCATGAAGTGATTCATCATACATATTCAACATGCCGTATATTGCCCCACGACTTCTTAATGCCGAAGCATGATTTGGATCCACTTCTAATGATTTATTTAAGTCAGAAAGTGATTCGTAATACTTATCCAGCATTTTGTAGGTTTCCCCACGACTTCTTAATAAAGCTGCGTTTTCCGGATCAATTTCTAGTAATCTATTGAGTTCATGAAGTGATTCTTCGTATTTACCCAACATTCTGTGGACTTCCTCACGTTTTCCTAATGAAGCATCACCCGGTTCTAGGTCTAACAACTTATTGAAATATAAAGGTGATTCGTTATATTTGTCCAATATTTTGCAGGTTTCTTCACGGTCTCTTAATGCAAAAGTATCGTCTTGCTCTATCTCAAGTAAAAAATCATTGGAACCTGAAAGTAATTTACTGTGCGTGTCTAATACACTATTATCTTCTCCCACTAATTCAAAAGCATCATCAAATTTTCTTTTCATTCTTAAGAATAAGTCTATTGTTAATTACAGGATGATGAGCAAAATATTTTATAATTGTTTGTACCAAGCCTTTAAAAAGCAAAATATTTATGAAATTTGAAAGAATCTTACGTTGTTATAGTATTGTTTTATGTTTGCAAAATATAATAAGACTAGAAATAACGAGGGTAGAAATTTGCTTCTTTTATAGGCACAGCTTAGTGCCTTCTAATGACAAATAAAGTCACATAAATACCATGAAATCAAAGATTTAGAAATCGCTCCGTGCTTGATTGTCAATGTTATTTCTTATATAGTCAAATCTTATTGAGATAGCAAGAAGTGTAATGTAAAACGAAGCAGGCGTTATCTTCCTGAATAAAATAGATAAGGGATGAGCTAGAAAATTTCTATAGTATTTTGTTTTTTAAAAATTTTGATATGCGTAATACTCCGGAGTTTCGAAAGAAAATTCTCCAGATGCAGATTGATATAGAACCGCTTAAAGCTGTGTCGTACACGGTGCAAAGGGGTTTATATTGTCCGTTTTTTTATTTTGTTTTGGGGGGGGCTGAGATACTATACTCTCAAAAATCCAGTTTAATCAAATCTATATACTGTAAATCAAATGTATAATTACTTGATATTATAAATACATTGATATTATATTTGTTGTTATTAAAATCACATGGCTATTACCAATTGCACAATGTCATTACTTTAACTTGGCTGAGTCAAGTTTAAGGATAATTAACTTTACAATAGAAGTAATGTAACTCATCTATTTTTGCCCGTATTCTTTATATTGGAAAGATTAAGATCACAAAGTTTTAAATTTTAATGTTTTAAAATTCTAAAAATTACAACCAAAATATTATTAATTTGTATAATATAGTTTTTCTTTTTATATTAGCAACCACGTGTATTAAATATATTTGATACTATGACATACCAATTAAATCTAGGGTTTATGAGCAAAAATCACAGAACAGTTCTTTTTATAAGAAAAATTTTTTTAGATAACTATAATGATCCGACTTGAATTAAATCTGAATGGTTTAATAAACAGATTATTTTTTATAAGGATTCATTAATTTTTTAATTTGAACTAATTAGGGTTGTTAATGGGATTGATTGGGGCGATTCATTAAAAATTCAAACATATTCAACTATAAAATCAGCTGAAAATACAGTAGTTAGATTGCAATGCAGGTTGAATACTCCCATAACAGAACAATTTAATTTTCCATCCGATTTTCTCTGGAGCATACCTATCTTGATTTGAATTTGAGTAAGTTTTTATTCTCCAACGTAATTCCGGAGAAAATCATTCCATTTAATATCCCTAAAACTAATAATCCAAATTAAATTAATATCGTTAAAAATCAAATTTAATAATAATAATTATTATTATTATTTTGTAATGTTTTTTTTCAAATCATTTTCTTAACTATTGTAAACAAATATAAAATATACAATATTCAAATTTTATTAAAATTAATTTAATAGATTTTAAAAAAAATATGTTATAAGAAATATAATTGTATAAACAAATATTATGATATAACAAAAATAAAAATAAAAAAAATTCTTAAGCTCTTTCTTATACATAACATTTTCTTAAAAAAATTTTTTATAATAATTTTTTTCTTACTTTTTAATACCTGCAAGTTTTTTACATTTTTTATACTTTTTTTTTTTGATGTTAAGGTGAGACACTTCTTATGATCTTTATTGATAGAGTAAATATATAATATTACATGAT